AGCCTCCCCTTTCAGTTCCGCTCATGTGCATACATGTTGCACTTACCGCTAAGTTTGACAACTGTTCAGCTCATATTTTCCGACCATAATTTTTGACTTTCTCTTCGAAGGCATTCGCCGTAATTGATTAAAGCCTATAAATACTCAGAGGAATTTTTTGAGTTTTCACATTTTCAAAAAATACATTTTTTATTAAAGTGTTTTTCTACAGCAAATGCAATTTTCTTCATCATAGCAAAATTTCTTAACAATGCGATGATCAATATTTCAAAACATTCTCAGTAGTTTTTGTCAACTTTTTCATTTTTGATCCTTTACCGACGAGGTAATATCATGGAATATTTCGTCACTTTCCGGCCAAAGTATCACAAGCGCCATACGATGTTTAAACATTTCGGTCGCCATTTTATTTTTTACAGAGAAATTTTTCAACAATGCTGCACGAAAATTTCACTGGATTTTCTTTGCGCTGCCAATAAAATTCAGTGAAATTTTTAAACAGATTCAACCAAAAATTTCTCTATAAAGAAAATAGAATGGCGGCGGAAATGTTTAAATTTCGCATGGCTTGTGATTCTTTGGCCGGAAGGTGACGATTTAGAAAGTCATGGAAAATGGCGGACTTTCATTTTCATCTCGAATATTTTTGATAGACTGGAAGCATCTGAAGTGCAGTTCGCGGCCTTGTCCTGTGGTTACTCATCTTCATCTCCCGCTGCGATATTACTTTCCATCGGTTGCCGGAATGCTTTGATCGGATATCACCATCTCCGGAATCAAACGTGTAATCGATTATGCAGTGGCGGTTTCCCTTCTCGATTCATTGGCTCATCTGGTCAGTGACCCGCAACAACTTTGAACTTCGTCCTGTGACTGAACAGTCGACGAATACCTACGTTGAGATACGAATCAAATAGTTGAGTTTACAATTTAAAAGTGAGGTGATTAGTGTTTTTTCTGAGAGCGGATGGTTTCAATGGTGGGTTGACGTTTTCGCACAAAATTTCCGAGTTCGACATTACCATGCAAAACCTGGATCGACATTTCCGCACAAAATCAGCCAGCAAAACTTTCTTTTTGGCTCGATTTGGCAACATTACGCAAATAATTGAATCGTGTTTCTCTTATTTCACATACAAAAAAAATTTAGAAGAATTAGAGGGACACACCTTACCAATTGATCGTTTATCGGGGATTGCTACATTTGTAAAAGATAACAGCGTAAGTTTTTTCATCATTTGATGGCAAAAAAAACTTGTGTGTCTTCATCTTCATGTGACTTGTGCGGGAAATATTTTGTGCGGAAACGTCAATTATTACGACCTTCCTGTGGAAATGTCAAAATCCCAGATTTTGTGCGGGAAATGCATATCCGTTTTAATCGCCTAGTTTCCTTACCAGCTATAACGTCAATTCTAACAATAATTTTGATAAATTATTAGGACGCAGCGTGTCTTTACCCTAATTTGCTTGAATTATTGATGAGATTACATGTTTTCTGATGTTTTGAAACCAGTTGACCTATATTTTTCCCCAGAAATAAAGCCCCTCCATTAGTTTCTAACCGTCGGCCGTGGACGCAAATGACAATCAATTTTGAAATTCTAACAAGAAAACAGACACTGATAATATCAATCGCAAAACTTTCATAATAATTACCTACCCTTGTAATACTTGGACTGGGCTGGCCATCGCATTGTTCCCGGGAAATTTTCGGATCCATATTGAACTTCCCTCCCAAACAAGACGCAATTACCAATACACAGGGGCAGCCATGAGTGCGGTCAGGCTATGGAACTGCTCAACGTTGCTAAGTCATGAACAAACCCATGAATGAGTTCATATAATTCAGTGTAAAGCAGCGGCTTTTTAAATAAAATTGGTCACATCAAAGCTCAAAACATGTGGAATGTTACAAATTGTCGCCTTATAATGTAGAAATTATCCATTAATTGTGACACATGAATTTGATGCATTCCGGGACATTTAGCAACTCTGTTACGACTGCAAAACTGAGTAACTGGATCACGGTGTCTGAAATTACTGGTTCTCGAAAACAGTAGGTGAGCGCGGCAATTATATTTATTGCGTGGCGGTTCATGAAAATCGAATTATGATTCAATTACAATCAGATTATCGCCGGGTGGAGGTCAGGAGCGTCCACTTACCTTCTCACGATTTCCTTCTTCTCAGCCTCTCGAGTTGAGCGTCGCGTCGCGGCGGGCGAATTGGACGTGTTTATGCTAAAAGGAACTATGTGCATACGTTTTACGTGCAACATAGTTCCTTTTAGCATAGATACGTCGAATTTTGAGGCGTGCGCGTGCAAGAAGGGAGGGCTTCCGAGGTTGTGAAGAGGCGCATCATTTTTGTAAGTGCCTATCTTACTCCGAGGAAGAAGGTTAATGGGCCCTTGAAATAGGGTCTGGAAGTATTGGAATGACTAAACGCGAGTAATGATATCTCGATCACTTGGGCTTGAGATTTCCACGTATAATTGATTTTCTGAAGAATACGAAAATTCTTGAAAATTCACGGAGTATACTTCAAAAAGGAAAGTAAAAACATGGAGGTTCGAAAAACAGAGGCTCTGATAGACTATATGGATTGCATTTTGCAAAAGAGAACCAGGAGAATTACAATATTGCTAAGATTGTGCAGCTCCTTTTGTCTTGGAAGGTATACCAGATTATCTCTAAAAAGCTTCTATTTAACTCGCTAAAAACTGTAAATTTAGGACAAAAATTATACCATGCAAATTTCATATTTTTTCAGGATGTAAATCGATATATTGCAGCGGGTAAAGTTGCACAATATTTGAAACATTGCAATGCTCCTGGTTCCTTTTTGCAAAATGCAATCCATATAGTCATCCATTTGCAGAGCTTTGTAATTTTTAACGTCGCAAATTACGTGATGCATTTTTAGGGTTATTATTAGATTCAAAGGTCTGCGAAAAATTTTAGTGCGAAGGGAAATACATTTTTTGGGGTTTTTTATGCCAAAGGCAAGGAGATTTGTAAAGTCTCAAAAAATCAGTGATCTAAGCACAAATTTTCTTAAAAACAAGACGTTGGTGATGAAAATATTTTTAAATAAAATTTAAATTGCTTTGAAGAAATAGTCCAACCGCTCAGAGGTATTTAATCACGCAACTATTCAATAAAAATTTAGGTGATTTTTCTTCTCACATAGGAAAAAAACTACATTGGATCTAGGGTCCAGACTCTTGAAAACATTGACAAGAAAAAGGACTCTTGTTTTAATCAGATTTAAGCTTAAATCAAAAGGGATTCCACTCAAATTAAGAGGCTTGGTTCTTGATTTAGGCTTAAATCTGATTGGATCAAGAGTATTTTTTCTTGTCGATGTTTTTAAGAGTCTGGACTCTAAATCCAATGTGTTTTTTTACCAGTGCTCTTTGTGAAGGATACTTTGTGCAAATTTCAAGTCATGGTCTGGGTTTGGTCGCTCTTTTAAAAAATAAAATAGGGGCAAAGATTTTGAAATACTACAAACGCGATACACGGATGTTTGCAGTTGTACCGTCGATATGTTTACGATGAAATCCGACATAATTATATCTCGAATCTTTCAGGGAAGAATGGAGAAGGCGAATCGACGAGTTTCGCTCTTCGAAATCGGATTTTAGCTGATAATTTGGCAACATAGATTAGCGCCACAAACCGGTGAAGACGGACCCGTCAAAAATTCAGTTGCGGAACGGAAATGCGTCGCACAGTCATTGCCAGATCTAGACCGGAGTTACCTTGAGCTACACTGCCGTGCTAAGGAAGAACGTCGTATGAGCCTTCAAGCGTTGCCTAATCTCCGCAGAAAAATCACGAATTTCCGGGAAAATTTGTTATTATTTTTCCTCCGATTTTTCAGAGGATATTGTTTGTAACTTAATCAAAAGTGTCCGAAAATTTCACAGAAAAATATTCATGGCGTTCTTTAAAAATAATCATTTTCTAAGAGGCAATTTGGCAACATTCCGATGTTCATGCGGCGTTTTCCCTCAGCACAGCAGTACAGTATAGGCGGATTTCTCAAGTTTTCTGGCAACCGTAACAACACTGTGCTGGTGCAGGAGCGGAAGCGTCCGGGGATCGGAACACGTGAAGGTGACTTTGGCTTTCCAGTTTCCACACGACCAAGAACACTCCTCCCCTCGCCCAGAGGGAAAACTCTGGGTAAAAATAGACGATCCAACCACACAAATACCCGCAGAAAACCAAAATCTGAATTGGTACCCTCCTGAAAATGATGAAAAGGAAACGGGTACAGGATTCTGTGGATACCGGCGGGCTGATTTTTGAAATTGATAGACAAAGCTATAGACAAAGAAGACATGAGCAATATGGAGCGATCCCATCGGTTGAAACAGGTGGTTCCTATGGACTAAGGGAGAAAATGGGGAAGTCCTCTAATCCCCGTCCCCTTGATCCCTTTTGTCTTCTTTGTCTGTAGCCTTGTCCATCCATTTCAGCAATCAGCCCGCTGTTGGATCTTTACTGATAGCGATTGAATTTCTATTAATATGAGTAGATGGACATTCGAATGGTGTCCGTAGAAGCTCCACACTTGTTTTCGGCCCACTATTACGAGTGATCCAAGTCCAACAGATTTGTCGAGAAATCCGGGCTGGCGTTGAATCTGCCATGTCCGATATCTCAGGAACTAATCTTAGTGGATCAAAAAATATACAAATGGTGATTTTTTTTAAAATTTACAAATTACGGAAATGCCTCCTTACTCCTTATTAGAAACAGTGTTTTTGGAAAATGTAAACAAAATTGAAGAAATTGTATGTAAATTTTTCTCCTGGTATCACTATATCACTGGAATACTCTAGTGGTGCGAGTCGAATACGAATTACTCATCATTTTTAGCAGGGTAGTTTGTGAGACATAAACTCCACAAAGAGGATTCTGATTGGCCAGTGGTGCGGTTTGAACTCATCGATGAATACTACATGACCGTGTGAAAGAGCCAACAAAATTCGGCTCCAGCTCCTCTAGGGGTCCTTAGAACCCAATAGACGAATTTAGAGACGCCCTGAGACTGGACATTTGGGTGTCATGAGGCCCTTAAATTTTAAGATTTGCGACCCTTTACAACCATAACCTCGGGCCCCTGAGCGGTAATCCGGCGCGCCTTGGTATAAAACTTCTTATTTCAGCCTTAAACTCATCAGTTTTTTAGAGATTAAAATCATTAGTATCTATTAACATCAGATGCAAAAAGTAATCCCCGAGGTTTCATATTCTTACAGGAAAGTTTAATTTTGTATTCCACTAGCTCTGGATTGAACGCTGAAAAAATTGAAGCTACCGCGCATACCTCTGCAATCATGTGCACGAAGATAACGATACGAAATGATCACGATTCGGAAAATGGATGATCAAGGTTGCCATAATGACGTACAACAATTTAATATCAACTGAGTAAGTTCCATCTTCGCTTATCCATCATACTAATGAAAAATCAGAGATCCAGCAACACCGCAGTGAACAATTCTTGACAAGTTCGAGGAAAATGCGAAAAATAGGGAACCTTTGGTGAGATAATTCTGAGGAAATCGTTAAGGAGGAAAAATCAGTCCAGTGAGCACTTTAATTTGTCTAATCGCGGCGTTGCCGACCTCACGTTTATCTACCTGCAGGGTTATTACGTTTGTTCAATCAAGGGTTTCAAACCAACAAGTTTTTTATGACCACTGAAATTGCATTTTTAAAACCCTCAGTGTTGGGTAATTTTTCTTGGAGAAAGAGGGTGTCAAAATTCCCTGTAAGATAGTGGAGAATTTTCGCTTCGGCCTGGTCTAACTTTCGGCGCTTTTGCAAATTTAAAATTAATTTTTTTTAAACATTTAAATTATTTGAATGGTTTTTTTGCTGATAAAATCATTTATTAGAGTTTTTGAGCCTACCATTGAACCAGCTTTATTTAAAAGATAGGCTTGATAGATGGGATGAATCTCTTTTAGATTTGGTGACATGAACAAACAGACAAAACACCATACTAAAACCGTAACTATTTGCCGAGAGGCGCTAAAAAGCATATTCAAAATACTACATAAGGCATGTAATGAGCCAGCGCATCCCAGTTTATTTCTTATTCCTGTTACACTCTTGAGAATTCGTCAGGGTGCTTCTGTTTTTTATTAATTTTTTGTATTTAAAATTTAATTTTTTTCTATTCTTTCCCATTTTTTAAAAAGCGCTATTTTATAGCGCAAACATTGACACTGATTTTAACCTCGACTGAACTTTAGTTAAAGTTGGTCATTTAAACGTCTTGTCGGCCACGAGGAATCTATTCCCACTGAGGAATGAGGATTTTTTTTTTCGAAAAGAGAACGCATTTAAATTTTTCAAAATATTTGTATTTATTTCTCGAAAAAGTTACACTGCTTCGATAACTTTAGATGATTTTCATTACCTCTATCAGTTTTCAAGCATGTCTGAAGAACATTCATAGAAAATTTGGGTTGAAAATTTTGCTTGGGAAACGCATACGGAAAAATATTTTGGGTCCACGCTCAGGTGCATGGAGGTGGTTAATATCACTGCACCAAGTTTCAGGATAGGTTCCACCTAACCCTACTCCAAGCTTATCAATTTTTCCTTATTGTAGCTCTTGCATCTTGACTATTTTCCGCGCACGTTTGTCTTTGAAATATCTTCCAAACATTTCGCTTTATCCTTTTTCAAGCTGCAGGTAGGAGGATAACCAATATATCGTCGCTTGGCTGACATAAGGGCGTAACTGCACTCTGCAATGAACCCTGTCCTCCATACAACTCAATGCTTTTCCGGGCTCATCCCAATGTGTAGTTACGTCCTTATGTCAGCCAAGCGACGATATGATGAAATTTTGCTCCCGTTTATCTTATAATCGCAGACTTGCGAATATTTCTCAAAACAAAATTTCTTATATTTAGGCTCAGAAAGGCCTCAAGAGCTTCACAAAGTAATAAGTTTTCAAACTTTTCGAAATCTAATGAGCGACACATACATCGCTTAAAGTCATGCAATTTGAGATGTTCCAGATTTGTCATGACGTCATTAAAGCGCGCACAGCACTTAAAAGTTATATATACTGACGGCATCTTGTGGTAAGTCATATTTCGTATAATGGCGGTATGTCGATCTTATGTACCATGTGTATGCCGAAGTTACCACTGCGCGATTGCCTGTTCATGCCTTTGACCTCATGAAAACTTCATCTCCATGAGAATATTTGGGATAAAATATCCATAATTGTTATACATATGCGATGATAAGCAAGAGTAATAGGGCGCTTCTTCGAGATCGGCGATCGGTCCTTGGCTCGCATGCACCGACACAGCTGCTGCAACGTCATTCCTTAATTGCCTTGCTCGGAAGCCTAACTTCGCCTCTCCTGACCTATTTACGGGGACCCGTCTCTCGGTGGAGGCTGAGCGCTGGCCTCGATGTAGAAAAAGTCAGGGCAAGCCTCAAACCTGAGTTCCCTGAAAAGCTTGAGTGAAGGCGGGTTGGATGCGAGCACATTGGCTTGCGGCAGTAGTCCAGATCGCAAGAGTTGCTCGTTCATGGCGTGACACATGATCTGCGCGTAGCCCTTGCGACGGTGCTCCTGTCGGGTGTGGAGGATGCCCAGCCCGGAGTACTGGTTGCAGAGCACCCAGGCGCAGAGTTCGTTGGTGTCGCGCAGGTAGACGCCCAGGCCGAAGTTGTTGTCGATGAGGGCCTCCACGTGACCGGCGGCGCCGCGGAAGGTATGCACCCACTTAGACTGGATCTCCGAGGAAAATGCAGGGTCCAGGGGAGCAACGTGAACCTCAGGTGGGCACCTGAAAACATACAGAAATTAGAGCACAAACTGGTTAGGGTAGACACACGGGTCGTAAGACCCGTGCGTCCACCGCAACGGAAGGAACAACAAGTTCCAACAAGTTGGAAATTTTTAGCCAAAGTGCGTTAAAAATTAGCATATAGCTGAAAATCTCAATTCAAAGGGAAAAAGCTCACAGACAAGCACAATTTTCTCTCAAAGAGGTACGCTGTTTGGTATGAGCCTGCTTTATGGATGCGTGATAGGAAGGGGGGATAAAAGTCGGGGACTACGTCATTGAATGCTGAAATTGGCGCTACGCCAATATTTCGAAAATTTCCGATGAAAAATCGACCAGAGGTGCTAAATTTTCGTAATTGTGGGGGGGGGGGGGTGGAGTCAAAAAATCCGATTCTCGGCCTCATGTGCTTCATATTTTACCATGGTGAGTTTTCATTATAATACATGTTTACAATTACTTACAATTGGGCTGCATTTTGCAATTTGGACCTATAAATTCCGGCCCGGTTTAAAAACAACGTATGTGCCATTAGTTTCCCTATGCACATAAGTGTTTTTTCAGATGAGCCAGAATTTATAGGTCCAAATTGCAAAGTGTACTAGTGGAGGGAGGGTTCGAGGGCTAAGATTTTTTTGTACATGCATGGTTTCATCGATGAAGCATGAGGGGATTGAATTATTCCGTTGCGTAATGCTGTTTTTTTAAGGCTGCCGTACGATAAAATTAACTCATTAGTAGGCACGTTTTCTCGTTCCCCCGAGAATAGTTTTTCATCCGTCAAAGACCTCGCGAAAAAAGCTCCGTACCCGTGACAAAGATACCGTTCACGTTTATGCGAGGCGAGGTGATAAACTGAAGCCAATGATCAGGGGAGTCCATGAACTTGACTTCGAATTCGCTGACTTGGCACGGCGCGCGCAGCAGCACCGGATAAGAAAGCTGCATAATGCCACGCACGGGTATAACGGAAAAAAACTTAAATGAAGTACGACATAACTGCACAAGAACTTGTGGATGAAGTACTCTAGAGATCTGTCATGAACCCTACAAATCGTTGAAATGATGGATACAGGATAATCAGTAGTTCAAAGCATAGTTGGATTGCATTTTGCAAAAAGGAACCAAGAGCATTCCAATGTTGCTAGGATTGTGCAACTTACATTTTTTGCAATAAAATTACTGGAATCGTGCGAAAATTTAAATTTACAAGGTAGTTTTTATCTTGAATTTATAGTTTATTGAGATTAAAGAAAGTTGCACAATCTTAGCGACAGGAATGCTCTTGGTTCCTTTTCGCAAAATGCAATCCAATTAGCAAAAATTTAATCTGCCCCAGTGCCACCCCCCCCCCCAAAGAAAAGGAGGAAGGAGGAAAACCATATCTATAGCTTTAAATTCAAAAAAAGCTTATGACCCAATGGCAGGAGTATTTTACGTACTACATGTCGTCGCCTTCTGGCCAAATTATCGCAAGCGCCATGCGACATTTAAAAATTTCCGGGGCCATTTTATTTTTTTACAGAGAAATTGTTCAACAAAGCTGTCACAGCCGAAAATGTCATCAAATTTTCTTTGTGTTGCCGTTAAAATTCAGTGAAATTTCCAGACAGATTCAACCAACAATTTCTCTGTAAAGGAATAAAATGGCGACGGAAATTTTGAAACGTCGCTTGGCGCTTGTGATACTTTGGCCGAAAGGTGACGATTTAATGTCGCTCGCACTTATGGCTTGCTCTTAAGTCTACTTCAGAAAAAAGCGAGGAGTTAAAACATTAAAGAGAGGACTTGGGCTATTATTCAAATCCACTTGGTGACACTGCAAAAACGCGTATTGCGTTTGGGAGACTGCAAAATCTCCGCTCCCATTTGATTTTATCAAAGAAGTATAGACGAACACTTTTGCTTGAATTCTTGTATACAAATATAATAAAAAAATGTTATTCATAATTTAAAAAAATAATTATAACAGGAAATCTTTGGCGTCACAAACCGAGACACGGATTTGTTCAATTTCACCGTCACTCCAGACTTAGTGATATGACTTAGAGTACACTCCACTAAGACACTTCAGACTTAGAACTATTTGGATCGCATTTAGCAAAAAGGAACCAGCGCGATTACAGTGTTTTCAAAATTGTGCGACTTCTTCTTTTCTTTTAAAAATAATTAATACATGCAGGCCCGCCACATCCCATCTCGGGCCCTGGTACCAATTTTCTGACCCGGGCCCCTAGCACAGAAGGGGGGGGGGGTCCGGGGGCCTCCCCCGGGAAATGTTTGAAATTTTAAATCTATTTGGACGCATTATGAAGCTCTTATGATGGAGATTTTCCATCAATTTCTGCAGAATAATTACGCCTTTTTGTTTACTTTCAGCACCAAAAACTTTCGAATTGTTGCATTCAAAACATCTATAAATTTTTTTTTGAGGGGGCAGATGATAATTTTCAATTATATGTGGAGCCGGGCCCCCCTGGACTCCCCTTTCGTACGTCTATGGCAAGGGAGTTAAGCCATTGAAGTCGAGGATGCCCAGAAAGGAGCCTCTTAGCATCCGACAACGGAAGAAAATGAAACACAGTTACTAAAAATATCATTCTACATATACTCAAAATCTTGAAAATCTCTAAAAAATTAAGAAAAATTTTATAGTGCCCTAGCGTGTTTTTGAAACTTTATGCACCTTTTGCGGAATTTTTAGGGTAATTTTTTCACTTTTCCCTACGAGACAAGGGTTACACATGAATTCGTAGTGGTTTGTCACCTGCGTCACGGGCCCCTCCAGGGCCCGGGCCCCGGTACCAGGGACCCAGTATCCCCCCCCCCCTTGTGGCGGGCCTGAATACATGTATGCACAGTATTCAAATTTACACAATTATTTTTCCTTGAAATTCACAATTTCTTGATGGGAAGAAAAAACTATTTGCTATTCGGGGATTTTTATCAGATAATTATGAAGAAGCAACATTTTTAAATCAATCACGCTGGCTCCTTTTTGCTACATACGATTCATTTAAGTAAGTGAATCAGGGTTAAACTTACGGAAAATCATTGAGTACATGACGCGAGGGAGTGAGCCAAAATTTTACAGATCTCATGTTGAGGGTGGTTTGAAGGTTGTTGCGAGCAAGGCATTCTTCGGCCACGGGAAGGAGCTTCTCTGAAAGCCCCTCAAAAGTCACCTGGATCCCTTCCATGTCCCACTTAATCCTGCTGGTGGTCAACAAGGCATTTCTCAGGACTGACGTGTCGTTTCCGATACAGTAAACGGACAGAAAATAATAAGTATCCTGAAAAAAAAGCAAAACTTGGGCTTAGATGTCTAATTCTACAATCTACGTGTGCCTCGAGAAATTTATAGAGTTTTTTAAACTCTCAAAACTCAAAAATACATACATTGAAAATGCATGATCTTAGCAGAGACTTTAAATAAGGATTTTAAAATCCTTGTTTAGCACATTTTGGAGAGCAGCACTTTGCATAACTTTATCGTGTATCGTCTGATTCGTTATGGGATTAAGATAATCGCCGTCCCTCTACTAAGTTTCCATAAAAAAGTTCCGCAGCCTGTTAGCAACAGGAATCTTTGAAAAAACTCTTGCAGAATGTTTAGGCAGAATAAAACCCTGGAAAAAACAAATTTGTTATTTACGCCGAAAGACAAAACTTACTTAGAAACTTGGACGTAATGTTGATTTCTGGTAAAACGTGATAATACATACATTCAGACAAAAGAGCAGATACTGACTAACGAATCAGTGAGCTCATATATTTTATCGATTCATTCATATGATTTACTGTCCACTTAACTTATTATATCAGGCCTGCAACCCCTAGGAAGAGTGCTTACAACCTGACCACATTTTGTTAGATTCATCTCTTCATAAACTCAATGGAGATGTTGCATGTGTGAGGGATTTGCGATTTGACCATTGATTCTTATGTAAAAGTTCGCGAAAAACACGATGGTGCCACTGGTTTTCTCTGATATTATCTGCCAAGCTCAAAAAAAGATCTCAAAGTGAGGCCAAAATGGAGGGGATATCCCACCCCACCCTGAGAGTCCACCTCTACATCAAAACAAACTCTCCATGCAAAGACAAGGAGCAAATACATTAGCAGGGTTGCCGTGTTTTCAGTTTTGGAGTCCCCAAATAAAGTGGCAACCCTGCTAATGTATTTGCTCCCTATCTATGTATGGAGAGTTTGTTTTGATGTAGAGGTGGACTCTCAGGGTAGGGTGGGATATCCCCTCCATTTTGGCCTCACTTTGAGAGCTTTTTTTGAGCTTGGGAAATAATATCAGAGAAAACCAGTGGCACCATCGTGTTTCTCGCGAACTTTTACGTAAGAATCAATGGTCAAATCTCAAATCCCTCACACATGCAACATCTCCATTGCTAAAACCAGGAAAACGACTTAAATTATCGACAGACATAATTGCACTGTGCACGGGGTAGAAAGAGCCTTCCTCTCAATGTAATTCAAGACAAAAATTTCGCAAATTAATCAGCTCCAAAAAGCACTTGAGCACACGTCATAGGAATCCAGAGATTTAAAACTTCCAGTGACACGCCAAAAATCGCCTTCAAATGATGAATATGCAATTTCCTCAACAGTCGTCGCCGAAACGCCCATTCTACGCACGTAATATGCTCCGCACACTCCATTTTTTGTATGCGGCTGTAACTGCTGTTATACATGCACCTGTTGACCGTCGATTTTAATGTTATCTTTCTCCATCGACCTGACGAAACTAATTTGCAGTAATTAGCTCACTATTTGTAAAAGTTAATGCGTCATTACAGATTAGAATAAAATGAAGAGAAAAGAGATAACTTTTTCGATGAAATGAGAGGAAATTCAAAAGTTATTCGCATAGAATAAACTGAGAATCTGTGTATCGGTACTACACATTTTCAAGCGAAGAATAATAAAATATGTGCCGAAACCCGGGATCGAACCAGGGACATTTAGATCTTCAGTCTAACGCTCTCCCAACTGAGCTATTTCGGCGCGCAACTCAGAGATTATCAGAGCATGTTACTATTTTTAAAGTATAGAATACCTATACGTCTTTTATCAAAACTCCTAATGTATAGATATAGCCATATGATGATGCCCAGTNGGGGGGGGGGGGGGGGGGGGAGATTGAGGGAGGTTCTCTACGCAAGCTGTCCAATAATTAAATTAAAAAAATAAGAATTACGGTTTCAAAGTGCTAATAGTTTTAGCGCCTCGAGTATTCTTTTTGAAACTTATTAAAATGATCGCTCACCGTCGGTTTGTATATTCCAACAACCGCTCCATCTTCTAAATGACCATGGGGTGTGTAGATATTGAGCTTTTGTCTACCGCCCTTCTTACTCCATTCAATAAAAGTCTGGAGAGCACCATAAGCCTGCAAACATATTCACACCGAGTATTATAATAAAAAATCAAAAAAACTCGGGCACTTTAAAATAAGTGCCTTTGATGGGCCCATGGTGTATATATTCTGGATTAGGACCAACTTACAGTCACTTGATGCGTTGAAATTTTGGAGGCGTAAAATGTCTCACCCACGTAACTTGCCCTACAAGAACCTTGCTACAAGATTGTAGAAAAGTTTCATTTTTATTGTGCGGCGAAAATTGAAAATTTGGCACAATCATGGTAATTTGGTGGTAATTTGGTAATTGGTAATTTGTTGGTAAGGGCAAATAATTAGTATTTTCTTCTTGGAATTTCCTTTCATCAAATCAATAAATTTTCATAGCCCCAAAGTTTTTGAAATTTTTTTTGAAAAATTTGGATTTTTTTTAAACATTTGAATAAGAAAATTCATATATTAACACCTCTATTTATCGGATTTTATAAAGTTTCGTAAAAATGTGGGTCCATGTTTATTTTTTATATCCTTAAGTATCCGGGTTTTTTTGGAGCGGGGGGAGGTTTCCGATTTCGCTCAGATTTTTTGAATTCACTTGACCATTAAAACTGCTTGATTATTAAATCGAAGTATAAAATTGTTCGGTAGGTTTAGGCACTCTAGGCTTTGCTGGGAAAACACTCTTAAATCGAACACATCCCGCCTCTAAAAATGTATGTTTTTATACAATTTTCAAATTCTCTCACGAATATGAACCCATTTGTAGCATCGATGTGTCAATTCCTAAAAATAACTTTAAGTCGAGAAACAATGTTCAAATGCACTGAATGTTAAAGCTCATTTTCTTAAAGCAGTCGAAACACAACTTGCGTCGTTTAAAACTTTCGCGTTCTAATAAGCATAAAAAAGAAAAGAGGGAGAAACTTACTTGTAATGAATATGGTAAGTCTGAGCGCAGTATTTTCAAAAGCTCCTCCGCTTTTTTCAGAGGTACAGGTTGAAGAGAATCCTTTGATACCAGCATTTCCCGTTGATACACCATTTCCGAATATGAGAAAAATTACGAGTAGATGATTTTCTATTCCGTTTATTTCCACAAAGATCAACGGCCAAACACCGATCGCTTGACTCGGCAAAACTCAAATGGACGTTAAGTCAGAATTTCCGCAAAGAAGGAGGAATTTAAGCACGAACAAAGGGAGATAGTAAAGAGGGTCACGAGGTAAAATTCACCCTTATCTCTTAAAAACTTATTGGTAGGAGACGGTCAGTATGTTCAGGTCACGCGCGAGTTTCAAAAAACTTCAGCGAAGCACGAGCCACTATTTTTACAGCGAATCGCCGCTATCGAGCAACCAGAGAAACGGGATACGTCAGTGACAAGTAATACTTGCTTGAAACTTCGCTCCTTTTTCACAAGCAAATTGCGGTCTCGTGAATATTTTATAATCACCGGTCGAGAAAAACAACTATGAATGACTCAACAGACAGTGCTGCTGTTTTTCAAACGACGGAGAAATAAACGAGTACTTAATTAAGTATTAAGAAAACTGCAAAGAAAGTCTGAAACTGGTAAGGTAGTTTGCCTTCGAAGATCGAAGACGAAAGGAACGCTTGGAAGAATGATGCGGGCTGGCTCGCGTGGACCTCTGTTATCGAAGCACAATAACCCTTATTAATATTCAGCGGAATTTTTCTGGGGTTATTTTAACTCTCTTTTCCGGCGGCGGTGAAAACAGCAACCTAAGTATGCGTTTATTCGCCACCTTTGAACATCGATTGCCAAGTCTTGTTAAATAATCGCGCACTTTTCGATAACAATGGAGAAGGAACTAAAAATTAATTGTCACTCCATAAAACTCAAATTAGTACTTATTATTCAAATACATAATTAATTACCTACGTGTAATTTATAAATCTGTACAGTATGTATAGTTTTTAAAGATGTGTCAATATCACCAATTTAGGGTAAATTTTTAGGGTAATTTCATTACGAAATACTACCAGTCATTTTCAGATGTTGACTAGGAAACTTGCTCTAAGCTGTGGTTTTCAAATTCTTACCCTACCGATGTGTAATTCAGAGACTTTCATCTGGGATCAGAGAAATTATATATACTCGATCTTTGACGACACAAATCGACAATGATAGACATAAATCGACAGTGAAATTACTAAACCACGTTATACTTTATCTTTTGAATGAAAAACTACTCAATATCAATTCTTGAAAACTTTCGTGATTTTTCTTCTCCAAGCGAAGAAAACTCTGTGTAAACTTCAAGGAATGATATCGATTTGTTCTCCCTCAAAAAACGAAAATGGAAGCGGAGATTTTTAAAGACCGCAAACAAGATACGTGGTCTGGTAGCTTCATCGACGAGATTTTTTTTTTTTTTTTTTTTTTTTTTTTTTTTTTTTTTTNTTTTTTTTTTTTTTTTTTTTTTTTTTTTTTTTTTTTTTTGCAAGAGACGAAAAAAAAATTTTCAGAGTCGAAACGGACTGCACGCAGCAGCGGAGGCTTTTGTGATGTTTCACTAAATGTTCCGTTGTCCATACAGCGGTTCCGTCGAATGATGCCGTTCAATCAAAAATTCAAAGGGCTATTTTACAATATTTAGGACGACGACGTGATGCGACGTGACGCAACGTGACGTTCTCAGTCTTGATTGTGGATAATAGCGTTAATATCTGAAATGTGACAATCTCTCACAGCACACGAGATCTATCATCAATTATCAACTGATTACACCAATTACTACGAAAAACTCAATTTGCAATAGCACCCATGGAAATGCACTTATTTTGCATAAATGCACACGCCTTCAAAGGATCCAAATTCCCCACTATCAAGTGGTGTCTTGAGATAACAGTTGACTCTCAGGTTATCACCAAAAATTTATGATAGTAAACTGCATTTATCATTTACTGACAATTTGCATGGAGGTGCACAGTGCAAGTTTAATGTCCGGTGACTGTGTGCATAGTTGACAGCGTCATGGTTGGTCAGGGGCGCCAAAGTTCAAAGTAAAATGGGGCGTGCAGAAATTTGAAAATACGTGCAAAGTACAATATTAAAACTGATATTACGTATTGGAATATCAATCCTGTGTCTACACCTTAGATTTACTGTCAGATTGTTTATTTCAAATAGCCATACGCATAGATTAAAGTTCGATTGGGTCTCTAATCTTCAGATTCAAAACATTTCTATCGAAATCCAAAAAAATATCATGTTTATTTGGTTGCACCCTACAATTTTGCCAATGGCTTGCACATTCAAAAGTAAGATTTACAATGTTTACTAAAATTGTAGCTACACCTCCATTGTATTCAAGATCATTCCTCGATCCACATGGATTTTAACTGAATGTGATAGTATCTTGATTATAGTGTTTCATTTCCGGTCGTAATTTTTTGTCTTTTATTTTGTCTACTCACCATAGAATTCATAAATTGTGCAAAGAATACTCGTTTCAAACGAGTCGTTTGACTGATTATAAATTCATTTTCCAAATATTATTTTAAATATTGTTTCCAAATAGGCCCATGGTGTCCCCCTCTCCCCCTCCCTCCATTAGTTTCCTGCTACTAAAGATAACAGCATGAGAATGCGGTGTTACATTGAATTGGATTGCATTTTGCAAAGAGGAACGAAGAGCATTACAATGTCACTGAGATTGTGGAACTTTTTTTACCTTGCAAAATATAAGTTTATATTTGCAAGGTAAAAAAAGCAGTTGATCATTTGAAAAAGCTTCATCTCTACTCCCAATAATCTATGAATTCAAGACGAAAATTACCCTTGTAAATTTAATTTTTTACATGATTTCAGTACTTTTTTGAAAATAATGTAAGTTGCACGATCCTAGTAACATTGGAATGCTTTTGCTTCCTTTTTTCAAAATGCAATCCAATTTATTATGAAGCAAATCGACTGCTTCTTTGTTTACAGTTACTTTGTAAATGAATCTCTTGTGCGTGGGTGATTTAAGGTGGAGAACCAGGTGTAATGAAGAAACATAATCTTCAATCCAGCACCAACATTTTTTATAGTAAACCATATGTTTTTACTTTGATAATTAAGAGGAGTGAAAATTATTTCAATAGTAAAATTATGTGGTTTTAGGATGATTTCTCCAGTACTTAACAAAATAAAGGTAAAAAGAATGCATAGAGGATGCGATGTTTCGATTTGCACAGGCATATAAACATGTTTTCGGACTATTTTTTTCCTGTAGCTGTGAAAAATGATTATTCGAAAGAAAGTCCAGCCTAATGCCCCTTGAGCTTTGGAATAATCCTCAAAGAGCTAACTTCATACTAATGACCAATGACGAAACGTAAAAGTGAGTATATTGTGCTGACCACTAGAAATCTAATGTAATCAATGAATCCTCAATGACTACAACCTTGCGGTTCTCTAGTAGTCTTATCTTATTCGACTTTGCATCCTGAATTTTTAGTCTTGTCTGATTCCACGTTTTGGCGCTGAAGTATGTGTTGATCATTTATAAAAAATCTGACAGTAACAAAAACAAGGAAAAGTCACGGTGAGTTCACTTGCGAAATTATTGAAAAACCTTCGTGGGATATGCTTGAATAAGAAAATGACAATCGTCGATTTATACATTTCACTTACGTACTTCAGATGTATTTTACGTTTCACAACGAGCTGAAAATTGCCGAAATAAATGAAAAAATTAGTTTAAGAAAGAGATTTTTGGTGCCGAAATACAAGCACTGAAGGGCATTTTAAAGGTCCAAGTTGTAACAGATGCGCTAACTTCAATGACTTTTATAAAAATTGACAGTCCTTTATGAAAATTGAGCAATTTCGAGTTACCGAGTTGGTGTGTTTTCGAACTCACCGATTCAATTCATCTAATGGATATCATTTTAAAGACTGTTTCTTAAAGGAAATCTAATCAGAAATTAGTAACAAGTAAAACTTTTCTGCAAAATATGTTCATGATCTTTAGCAATTTTAATAAGCAATGCAGAAGGTAATAAAAGGCAAAAAATCGCATGATCATCAGTGATGAACATCCATTCAGCTTTGAAACCGTGTTACGATCCCCTTGAATGACAGAATATATGACACAACATGTCTCAGGCTGCAGCTGGTTGCATCACGTTTCTTTGAAGGAAAAATATTTTGCTTTCAAACAAGTCAAGCAAGACGTGTGCCGAGTCGAACTCTTTAAATACATACTGTTTCGCTAGATTTGACTTGTTGCGACTGAGAAGGTTATAATTCAAATTGATATTACTTTATTTGACGAGAGAAAGACTTGAGGACGTGATTGGTCCATTCGTTACAGGCACGTTACGGATCTATCTACGCAAATATTAATTTTTTTAGAGTGCTCGACCAAAATTTACTTGGTCAAATTTTTTCTTTCCAGGTATTTCATTTTTTTAGTCTCGTTTCCAATTAATAAGCTTAATGCTGCCCCTAGATTATTGCAAAGCTCGAAAAATAACTTGATACTGTCTGATAACATCAAAGACTCTCGATGAATCAAACGTGTTCTAATTGTATTATTCCTCACGACTAACCTAAATTTGTTGTGCAATATTTCAGTCTGTTTTGACCAGGTGCCAGTATTTTTGGTCATAATTTACAGCATCGAGTCATACGCTTAAGACCTTACCAAAATGTCAGCTGTCAAACATAAAATCAAATCTGGGACGCGATTTGTTTAGTTTTTTCGTACAAAAAATGTTAGCCACATATACGCTCCGAAGTTATATAATAATTATATAATTGCTGCACAATGAAACTATCCGGACTCAATGTGAGCACATATGTTTGTTGTTTTTGGCTACCTTTTTTCCATGGATAGACCTCCTGCTTCCATACCACCGTCTGATCCATTGTTACGTGACATTCAGGAGAGGAGGAACATTTCATCACGAGTCTCTTTTTTAAACGTGTAGGACGCTTGAAGGTAAAGATAAAGAGAATCGAGATCGCTGATACATGAATTCAATTGATTCATTTTTTTTTCGAACTTTTTGAGGTGCACACTTAAAGAACACGCAGAGTAGGTTCATCGTCAGAAAATTAACTAAAACTGCGCAGATGAGATACTCAGGTGTCAATCGTACAAATCCGTGGACGATTAAAGTAATATTTGTCTCTGCGAAATAAAAACAAATATCAAATGCAATATCAGGAAGTTCCCAAGTAGCAGAATAACTATCATTAAGTTTAGATGGTCGAATGCAATTTTTCATGGATTGATACTTTAAATCAAAATTAAATTACTCCTTATATGAACATAAAATAGTTTGGCTTCTCTCTTCAACCTATTATGCACAACTCCTCCGAACGAGAAGATGGTCATTTCTTGGAAACAAATATGTCATTGGAATTTTAATTTTTTAAAATGCTGTCACGTTTTTAGATGAAAGAATATAATAAAAAGAAAATTAAAATTGGTACGTTTCAATTTAATTTAACGTCAACTTAAAAACAGTAAAAAAGTCTTACTCAATAAGATGTAAATTGGACAAAAACACATTAGCTAAAATAAAATTACGTAACATTAATATTTTCATCAGTTCAATAAGATTTTAATGAGCGTACTAGACTTGTCAAAAATTTACACACGTTTTATGAGTTACGATGCAACTCAAGTCCAATGATATTTCTTGTGACATTCTTAAGGGCATGCGCTGGTCATCTAAATACTAGAGCCCGTTTCAGATTACTTTACCTCCTTCGATGTATGCGCAATATCGGGAACCTTAATCTGCGCATATAGCGAAAGGAGAAAAACAATCTGAGACGCTCCTTAGGAGCTTAAATGTAAGTATCCATGCTCATTAATTTAAATTTTAAGACTAAAATCGTTGTTGTGACTCCTTGTCCGGTTCATGCATTCATAAATTATAGATATTTTGGTCACACCATGTTTTGTCATTGTAAAGTATTAAAAATAGAACAAAAAGAGGCTGGCAAAATGGATAAGAAAAAGATCCTCTTAGAAGTCACTACATTCGTTGTTTTGTTGTCTGGTTATTTAGTGATTATTCCACAGCAACCGTGAAGAAAGTGAGGTAAAAAAAAAACTAAATTCATATTAACTTCAGTGAATCATCTGGACTGAACGTTCAGTTGTTATATGGTACTAATATTCGACTCTTCGAGACTTTCTAAAGACTCCTTCAAAATTTTAGTGAGCATTAATGAATAATTTGAGAATATTTTGTCTTGGCACATCTACTTTTGAGCATCTCCAAACGAGCTAATCGATTAATCATACCAATTAATTTAATAAAAAGTCACGGAAAAAATATTTAAAGATGCACTCCTAGTGGCAGTGACCCGTAAAAATCAATTTCGTGAGAAATACTTCAAACAAAAATATTAAAAAAAAAATTACAGAATTGACGTGCCGGGCCGCAATCCGCATCTATTCACTGCATTCACGAAAAATCAATAAATAAGATTATATTTACACTCATGAATAGGATGCAATAAAACATCTGATAAGCCTCTTACAGGTGCGAGTTTAAGAGTTTAACGCTCTTTGTCAAAAAGTTATGAATTCCTTACGATCATCACCGTCCATCAGGTCAACTGAATAATCCAAGTAAGGTGCACCGGTCACCAAAATAATTTTTGCACCATGGTCCACGTGAAATGTGCATGTGCAACACCGTGTGATGTCATTTGTTCGACGAGCTATTTATGTGCTTTGCATGCTCAGGGCCAGAGTCTGGGTACAGTTTTGATGGCTGACGTCGCCGGCTGTGGTGCCCTTCGTTGGTGAGCGCGTCTTCTTTGATGGTGCTGGTGCTGATGCTGGTGTTGGGGTCCCTTGTCGAACACCGGGGGCGCCACGAAGTTGGGGTCACATGGTGTGTCCTCTATTACTTTGTTCGCCTCGCCGTATAAGATCCTGAAGTTGACCTCGTTGTTGTTCAGCGCATCGTTGTTGAAGACGGGCAGCTTGTTCGAGACGACCCAAACGCGACTGGCCCTGTCTACTTTCAAATCCGAGGGGTAGAGAAGCGTCACGTTGTTCTGCACGACCTGGGATATGGAATTAAAGTAGAGAATTAGAGCACATTGCAAGATAAAGGAGATGTATAGGCGTGAAAAATGCCATCCGACTTGTGCTCATTTTTCATATACAATAAATATATTTTCGTGCATGAAGAAATGGAGGTGTAAAAGCATTAAAAATGTCATCCAAATTGTTCTCATTTTCATTTTTACCGAAAAATTCCCTTTAGGCGACTGAATCAAAATTTCGTTAAATAAAATAAGTAATATATTTTTTTTTTTTTTGACCGCATTTATGGTGCAAGACATCACAAGAATAAATGGACGTATGTATGATAAAACTAGTCGTGATTAGCTCGCTTTGCGAGCTGACACGTCTAGCCGGGGAGTGCCCCTGGACCCCAGTTCTACGCTTCGCGACGAACTTGCGACTCGCTCCGCGAGCCGCCACCGCCCCGCACAGTTTTTAACATTGATGAGGAGACAACATCTATGTCTTAATCTTCTTTTTCACCAAGTTGTACAGAAATTTATGTTCTGGGAGTCCGGACCGCGTTTTCGTGCGGGGCCGCCATCTTGGATTTGGAAATGTTGAAAATCGGACGTAAAATTCTAATTTCCCTTCGAAATACACCTCCTAATTCCGAATTTCACAAAAATCGATGGATCGGAAGCCGAGATAACAATTTAGACCATGTTCGCCATTTTCGATTTTTGAATTTTGAAAATCGGACCTAAAATTCTAATTTCCCGTCGAAATAC